AAGAACTGGGCTCATTCAATTTGGCACCACAGGATTCCCTTTAAAGAAAAGTTATCCCTTTGACTGTTTGTATTTCTGAGCTTTCTGCCCCCCCCTTCTCCCTTTCACCCCCACTGCCATAAATTGATCCTGTGAGAGTGGCTACTCCTCTTTTATGACTTTGGTTACTTTAATTAGTTAAATGAGGCCAAAGTGCTAACAGTAATAAATAGATTGAAGGATGCTATCAATTAATTAAACCGCTCATGGAAAAGTAGCACTGGATTAAAATCATACACCAAAGTTACACCGGGCTGGAAACACTCCTGCTTTATGACCAAATGTGACAAAAATGAAATGACACAGCAGATTCTCTCACACATAACTCAGCCATGGATGTGGTTCTGTACATGTGCGTAAATTCCCTCCACACAGTCAACAGTTGAGGAGAACAACTTTGCATCAGCCTCATCCCAAGCAGCGAACACCCTTTTCCCACAATATTCCAGCCCACTTGCCATGCAGACCTGGGGCTGCCCAGTATACTTTATCCCACAAACCTCAGCAAGTCCCTTTTCCCAGACAAATAAATCTAAATGAGTCAGCTTTGATCTTAGCACTTAAGGGAAGCCAACAATAGTGGTTGAGGAGAAAGGGGCAGAGAGCAACAGGCCCTCTCCCCACTGCAACAATAGCCTCTGCAAACACCTACTTAATCAATATTTGGCCAGAAGACACTCTCCCAGTCCCCAAAAACCACGCTTTTCACATTCTAATGAAGTGCCGTAAAAGAGGAAAAACAACAACAACTTCCACAAAGAGACACAAGAATGAAATAGTGCTGTTGCGTATATCAGTGAGGGGAAGGTGTCTCGGAGCTGTTTGAATGCAGGAGGTCATGTATTTGATGTAAAAAAAAACTTATGTCATTTGTTCTCATCAAAAAAATTCAATGTGCCAAAAAAGTAGAATTAAAGACACAGTATAGAATAAATTATAATTCTTGCATAATTTCTGTTGGTTGTATTAAAAACACTTCTTTAAGTTTAAAAAATATTTTTAACCGGCAAAAATGTAAATTAAATTAATTTGACAACAGGATCCAAATGCATTTATCCTATTTATTGATCAGACAAATGATTTTCCATTTAAGCGTCTGAAATGATTTATTTGTTTTGTGCATGTATAGATGAGCTGTAGGAGTGTTTGGGGATGTGTCTCGCCGCGGGGAGAGGGAGAGGGAGAGGGAAGTGCCCACAGATACTGCATGAATGTGTGCGCCCTGGGCGGAAAGGAAAGGGGCGGACTCTGCCCGAGATGAAAGTGGAGAGAAATAAAAGGTTTGGGATTTAATCTAGTGGAGAGAGGGGTTTCCCCTGCGCCCACTGACTGAAGGCGTCGTGCTCACTGCTCAAAGACTGTGTCAAAAAAAAAAGAAGCTCCGTGCGCAAAAGCAACGGCACCATTCAATTTGATTACGCAAAGAGGCCTAAGGTGAATTTAACACACTTTGCGCAAACATCATGCACTTCAAGCTGTTGCCAGATGTGTTGACTTTATGTTTATATTATTTTGCAGGACTAAAGTTATCAGCTCCAACAGACTAAAACCAAAACCAAATAAAACCGCAGCAGTGAACAAGAAACTGAATGAATCAGTGCGTAAAGACGTGATAATTCAAAAACATTACCACCATTTCTAGAGGAGTTTTCATCAATAATTAACTATAGATTTCAATGTGTCCCCAACAGCAACACTCAGTCTCCAGATTACAAATCAAAATCAACAGGTGTTCAGCAGTTTCCCCCGTTTTTTTCCTCAATACAAACTGTAAACATGTGCAGAAAGCGCACAGATTGGCACTTTTTTTTGGTGCATTCTATAAACCAAGTGGCATCGAGGCCTTTTGGTTGTCCCTGAATTATTCATCGCTCATTGCGGGTTCATAATGTCTTCTCCGGGCCCTTTGTCTGCGCACTTTTTTCTCCCTTTCTTTTCCTATTTTGAAAGGGCCTGGCGTCTTTTTCTTCACCACTGAGCCGCTCACTGGAGTTTGGCTTTTGTGTGCGTCAAACTGAGGTGTGAGCCTCAATGGACTCTCCCTGCTTTGTCCCCTGAAGTTCATCCCCACGAGTCCGATGGAGTGTGATTAAATAAATAAATAAAAAGTTTCTCAAGCTTGAAAGTTTGACAAATGTTTGATTATCGACTTAAAATAAATCTCTTGACATTTGGTTAATCACTGAAACTTTAATTATATGCAATTAAACCAAAAAGGTGCGCAATTGAACATGCGAAAAAAATTACACTATTATTTGTATTATTTTTGATGTTGTTATTATTGTTATAATAATTATTACTACTGTGAAGTTTACTCTTTACATCTAACATGTTTCAACTGATGAAAAAACTAATTTAGGAGTAAAAACATTTAAAACCTTTCACAACCTGAATATTCTTGTTCAACGTGTCAACAGATGTGTTGGGGACTTTAAGAAGAAACAAACTGCAGCAAGGTAAGAGAAGAAGAAAAAAGTATGACTGATTCACTCACATCTGTCTCCCAGAATGCCGTCGATGCTGTGTTTTGTGCGCGATTCGTTTTCCTCCATCTCCCTCTTCACCACATCCTCATCATCCTCATCCTCAGCTACTCCGCCGAACTTGGAGCGCATGATGCGGCTGATGGCGCTCACTGAGGGAGCAAGGCAGAAGTTTGGACACGTACAAGTTAGTAAATATTTGGTTGGATGATTTCAAATCAAGCAAAACAATTAAATCATCTATCCTACACATTAACGTGTCCAAATAAAATGTCCAAAAGATTAGAGGGAGCATTTTTTCGTTTAAAATATTTCAAAAATAAGTTTGTTTTTTCGTGTAATGTTTAAATTTGTCTAATTCTTCTTGGTGATCACACGTTTTAAACATTCTCCAACCTGAGGGGACGTTGTTCCTGTCGCAGATTCCATCTTTCAGTAACTTGTCCCTGATTTCCCAGCTGAACATACCCGGGTTCTCTGACTTGTAATCCTCGATTTTCTTGTCCACCTCTGGAGCAGCGGTTTGCTTTGAGGAGAGGAAGAAAAGAAGAAAAGTTTGAAGTGTTTACTTTTTTTTAATTTCAGGCCTCAATTATAGGAGAGAAAGATAAGTTTAATTATTTACTGGCTTTAAGATTTAGAGTGACAATGCCAACGTAAACCAATAATTCACATTCATTGTGCCACAGAGGCAATAAAGTCAAACTCCATCAACTTTTACGCACTTGCACATATTGTAAAGGATTTTGCTTCAGAGGTTCCACTTTGAACTACACGACTTTTAACCAGCTCTGTTACTTTTTATTATCGACCACAGGCACATAGAATATTTAATTTAATTAAGTGAAAATCTTTTAAATAAAAATCTTCATTTTAATATGGCAGCTGCTGCGTAAACGACATTTGAAGGCATATATTAACTAGGTCATTTTACGATTTTTCAGTCCACCGGTCGTGTCTCTCACCTTTGGCTTGCTGCCTCCGATGGCCCCCGGCCTGATGGAGCCGGTCTCCTGGTACCGGCAGAGGATCTTGGAGACGCAGCCGTGGGACACCCGCAGCTGCCGGGAGATTACGCACGGCCGGACACCGTGATGAGCCATCTCCACGATTTTATGGCGGATATGGTTGGGGAGAGGTCGGCCGTTTATGAAGACGCCGCCGAGCTGGTTGACCCGACCCTGTCCTAACGGAGTGGAGACTGGACACATGTGAACGAGGGTTTAGTTGGATGAATACTTGTAACTTAGATTAAAGAAAATAACTCTTGCATTTGTCTTATTAATTAATATTTCCTCTGTGGGCTGTACTGTTTTTTCCAATGGTGCAGAAGCAACTCACAAATTAAATTATTTTTAAAGTATAATCTAACATGGAAAATAAAGGTGGTAATGGCATCCAATTTATCTTAATAAACACGCCCTCATTCTTACATCTCTTGTTCACCTTTTAAAATCTGAAATCGTCCTAAAATAGAAGAGAAAAGAATACCGAGAAAAAAACATCTGAAAAAATGTAAATAGTATAAAATATATAAAAATATATTCAAATGTGGGATTAGGGTGAGAACTGATACAATATAAACACACACACACACACACACACATATATATATATATAGGCCTATACTGGCTATTTGAAAAATGATGACCATTTGTTTATCAAATTAACCTACATTCAAACCTGAAAGATCAAATGATAATACATTTTTTCTGTGTTTACATCATGTCTGAGGCCGATCTTGACAACTTTTCTTAAGTTAACTAAAAGTTAAATTTGCCCTGAAACTTTGAGCAGCAACTGGTGGTGGTGTCTTACCCTCCAGAGAGTATCCTCCCCGCGGGTAGTTCTGGTGAGGAGTCGGTCTCATCATCCTCGGTAAACCTCCAGCCAGCGCTGTCATGGTTCCTGACTCCTCTGTCAGGTTTCACACTGGAAACAGAGCTACCTCTGCTTTTTTTTTTAATCCGACAAAATAACCGTCTGTAAATTGCAAAATGTCAAAAGTTCTCTGCAGAAGCGACGCAGCCTCCCTTTTCCCTCGAGTAACAGGTTGTGCCAGACCCGGAGACAAAAAGGGTGAATCCCTCAGAGGTGAGTGTATCCAGAGGTGGATGTGCACTCAGGTGAGAGGTAAGAAGTCAAACTGCAGGTCGCTGACAGTCCTCGAGGCTTGAGAGGAAGCTTTGAGAGGATGGATGGGAGGCAAATATTTTATCTGTGCTCGCTGTCCCCTCTGACTCCGCGCTGCGCCCCCTGATTGGCCAAAGACCCGGACGTTCAGAGACCTAAGGAGCTCTGTGATTGGACAGCAGGAGCTCCCCTCTGTCTGGATTGACCTCACGAGGTCAGTTTTTCGTGTCACAAGTTTCAAACTTTGTGTGCACAACTTTTATCAAAAGCCATAATCACCTGAGCGAAGACACGTCTGAATTGTTTTACTGCTGAGAAATGTGGACTAATAATATTCTCCTGATTGTCTGGATGGATAGAAAGTTTAATGACATGAAACTGGAGCAGGAATGAAAAAAATACACGTTGATATCGAGAGCTAAAGATAAAGTAGGACAAAGTTATAAAGTTGTAAAGAAAAAAGTTAAAATGAAAAAAAGAGTTTATCTTGAGCATTATAGATTGATGAGTAATAATTTCCTGGTACACACACACACACACACACACACACACACACAC